ACCACTGAGTCAGTGCTCTGGAGCCGCTGAGCTACAATGACTGAGTCCACGCAGCTGGAGCCTGTGCCCCTCCGCAAGAGACGCCGTCAAAGTGAGACGCCTGCATGCCACAACTAGACAGCCGCCCTGTCCTCTTCAGCCGGAGAAGGCTGCTGTGAGCAACGAGGCCTACCGCATCCGAAAATAAAATAAAGCATGTTTTTAAAAAAGGAAGAATGTCAGGCATGGCTTGATCTGGGTGCTGGGGAAAAAAAAAAAGATTGTTAAGAATATCTTTCCACTTCTTATCTCTGTTTTTCTCTGGGTTGGCTTCACTTTCAAGCTCACCCCTTCTGGACACTTGGCAGTTGCCAATAGATCCGTGGTTCCCTTCTACAAGTTCAGCAGCCTGCAGAGAAAACCATCCTTCCCACAGTGCCACCTCCACTGTGGGTAGAGGCAGATCAAGCGGCAGGGGCAGGGACTTGTCAGCCCATCCAGTGGCTAAGACTCTGCACTTCCGGTGCAGGGGGACCAGGTTCAATACCCAGTCAGGGAGCCAGACCCCACAGGTGGCAACTAAGACCTGGCACAGGCACATAAATAAATGTCAAAGGGCAGGGGTGGGGTGATGGGACATACTTGCCCCCATTCTGCTCACACCAGTCTGGAACCCACCCCCAAACGAATAGTGAAAAAGAGCCTGCCTGCAATGCCGGAGACGAGGGTTCAGTTCCTGGGTTGGGAAGATCCCCTGGAGGAGGGCATGGCAACTCGCTCCACTATTCTTGCCTGGAGAATCCCAAGGACAGAGGAGCCTGGCAAGCCACAGTGCAAGCGGTCACAAAGAGTCAGACACGACTGAGCGACTGAGCATGCACAAATAGATAAGAATACACAGTGAAAGTCAGGTGCTCACAATCCACAGCCAAGAAACCTAAAGAAAGAAACCCACGGTAAGACTGAAGGAGAACAATGTCCACATAGCATCTTTGAGGAATCCACGTAAACCCGTCACCAGGGACACTTGGCCCACTCTGTGCCCCTTCATGAGGCCCCATGCATCTGGCCTCCTTGGTCTGGCCTTCAAGTTCCCTGACCTCCAGAAGGCAGGGCCCCCGCTGAGGCCAGGCCAGGTCCTTGACTGCTGGGAAGTTGCTCACAAACCCCTTTGGGGATCTCCAGCCCAACTCGTTCCGGGAAATCCATATTCTTCTCCTGTCTTCAGTTTAGTTCAGTTCAGTCACTCGTCGTGTCTGACTCTGCGACCCCATGGACTGCAGCACACCAGGCCTCCCTGTCCGTCACCAATTCCCAGAGTTTACTCAAACTCATGTCCATCAAGTTGATGATGCCATCCAATCATCTCATCCTCTGTTGTCCCCTTCTCCTCCAGCCTTCAATCTTTCCCAGCATCAGGGACTTGTCAAATCAGTCAGTTCTTAGCCCTGTCTTTTTCCACCAGTGCCTCTGATCAGTATCAACACTTAAAAGAATGATGTCGATACTTTGTCGCCAGGTTTCAGCTGATGGATAGATGCCCCTCCCTTCCTTTCCCTCCAAGGCTGGGAGCAAAGCAGGCCAGTGGTACTGGCGTCAGCATTCCTAGTCTAGGGATGACGGGGTTCCTGGAACATGAAGTCCTAGAAACCTGCAGTGGAATCTGGGACAGATAATCATCTAAAATTGTCTTGTAATTAATAAATTTTATGCACTGTTCCTTACTAAGTGGGGTACTTACCATCACATTGCAACACAGTTTAAAACCATTAAGCCTCTTGTTCAGGGAGAATTGTGGCTCTACACATTGCTCAAACTCTTTCTTTTGCTACAAAATGAACTAACGAATAAATCCTTTAAGAAAACCATGTGAAATATAGATACTACTCGGGCTGCGATTCATGGGGTCCCAAAGAGTCCGACATGACTGAGCGACTGAAATGAACTGAATTGAAATGATGTAAACAGGCAGAAAACAGGTCTGAGAACTTGCAGTAAAACAACATACTCTGATATGGATGCATGTGTAAGGTGCATGCACACAAGGAGAGTCTGACGATCCACAAGTTAAAATTGCAGAAGGGACACAGTTGACAAGAGTATGTTGAGTCTGTGTATTAAACATATTACTCAGCCATAAAAAAGAGAATGAAATAATGCCATTTACAGCAACATGGATGGCCCTAGAGACTGGTGTGGGGCTTCCCTGGTGGCTCAGCTGGTAAAGAATTCCCCTGCAATTCAGGAGATCCTGGTTTGATTCCTGGGTCAGGAAGATCTGCAGGAGAAGGGATAGGCTACCCACTCCAGTATTCTTGGGCTTCCCTGGTGGCTAAGCTGGTAAAGAATCTACCTGCAATGAGGGAGACCTGGGCTCAATCCTTGTGTTGGGAAGATCCCCTGGAGAAGGGAAAGGCTACCCATTCTAGCATTCTGGCCTGGAGAATTCCATGGACTATACAGTAGCAAAGAGTCAGACACGCCTGAGTGACTTTCACTTACTTTCAGAGAATGGTGTGCTGAGTGAAGTAAGTTAGAGAAAGACAAATATATGATATTGCTTATATGTGGAATCTAAAAAAAAAAAGGTATAAACGAACCCATTTACAAAGCAGAAATAGAGTCACAGATGTACAAAACAAACATGATGACTAAGGCGTGAGGGGGGGATAATTTGGGATATTGGGATTGACATTTATACACTATTACATATGTAACATGTAGTTAATAAGGACCTACTTTATAGCACAGGGAATGCTTCCCAGCACTCTGTAATGACCTATATGGGAATAGAATCTAAACAAGAGTGGATACATGCATGAGCATGACTGAGTCACGTTTCTATACAGCAGAAACTAACCCAACATTGCAAATCAACTAAAGTCCAGTCAAAGTTAATTTTAAAAAATGCTTGAAAAATCCACTTTTAGAAAGGAGAAAAACACTCTTATACTTTTAAAAAAAGTAAGACTCAAACTCTGTGCCAACTTCAAAAAAACACAAAGCACTATCAAGTGTCTTATCTGGTTTCCTGAATGGACTCTTAGCTTGCCTGTCTGCTATGATCCTACATCTGTGTGTATCTTCAGGAGTTCAGTTCAGTAGCTCAGTCGTGTCCAACTCTTTGCGACCCCATGTCCTCCCTGTCCATCACTAGCTCCCGGAGTCCACCCAAACCCATGTCCATTGAGTCAGTGATTGCTATCCNAGAACTCTTTGCTCATTTTCTCATTCTGCGCTGTATCCCCAGGGCTAGCAAAGTGCCTGCCACCTGGGAAACTCGCGTGAGCATTTGTTGGATGGACGGGTGGATGACGTCATGACTGCTGTGAACCAGTGTCTCGCCTCCGGTTCAGGTTTACTTGGCTGAGACGATCTGTTACCCCCTCACCCTCATTCCAGCTCCTGTTGAGGGACTTGTGCTGCCTGTGAACCTGCCCTGGCATTTCTAGCTCTGTCCCCCTTGATTTCACATTGACCTGCGCTGCCTTCCTGTAGCCTCATCTCGCTCCCTAAAGGGTGCGGGTCAGCCTAGCTCCTTTCCTGTTGTCACCATCTTCTCTGGACACATGTTTAACCCCCCGGGCGCTGACTCTCCATCAGTGTCTCCTTAGCACTCTTCCTGCGGGAGCCGTCACCAGATCCTGTTCAGAGGTCTCATTCCCAGCCTCTGGCCGTGCCCACCGCCATATGTATATATGCACTGAATTATACTGTTTTCTTTCTTTGGTCATCAGCTAAGTCAGAGGAAATTTACTTATTTTTGAAAAACTGAAATCTGGTGTCCTAGTTCACAATGTGTCATTTCAATCACACCATAAAAGAAGACCACACACACATCAATTCAACACCAGGCACCCGTAGGGCATTTTCACCCAAATTGGACATCAGGGTTGCTCTTTCAATTCGGCCTGCATTCCTACCTTATTTAGATCATCTAACAGTGTTTACATAGTGTTTCACATTTTGGAGAAATCAGTTCATAGGACTTCCCTAGGGGTACAGTGGATAGGAATCACCTGCAAATGCAGGGGACATGGGTTTGATCCCTGGTCTGGGAAGAGCCCACATGCCGCTAAGCAACCAAACCCACATGCCACAACTACTGAGCCTGCGAACTCAAGCCTGTGCCTGGCTAGTGAAGCCACGGCAACAAGACGCCTGAGCACTGGGAGGAGGAGTATCCGCCACCAGCCACAACTAGAGAAAGCCCACGAGGCAGCAAAGACCCAGTGCAACCAACTGAAAAATAAAAAAGTTTTAAAAATCAGTTGATAAGGTTTGTTTGGGGGAAAGGATTCGGTAAATCAAGACCCCTGTGATGACTTGCTGTGCAATGGGTCTTTTTTTTGTCTAGTGACACAGTTAATGTGGACTACAATCCTGGTCTCGGAGACCAGGAAAATATGAACAGTCATATAAACAGATTGATGAGAGGGAGGGGAGCATGTTTGTCTAGTTAGAAATTGAAGTTTTCCATTAACTGTTTCATCATCGGTATGCATGCTGTGTTAACAGATAGCACGTGGGTAGTTGATTCCAACAAGAAACCGTTTGTCTCCTGAATTCCAGGAAGTCAGATACTGAAGGGGAGGAGGGAATGTGTGTGCTTAAGTGGGTAAGACAGACATTCTGTACCGATAACGGGATGTTTGGAGGATGTGTAGCCTCCAGTCACTCCAGTTCTCCGTCCACAGACAGGATGCAGTAAGTCTCCTTTCCCGGGAACTGCTCTTTGCTTGCTTGTTGGCGTGTTTGTCTCACCACCAATAGACACCACCAGGAGTTTTCCAGCTCACTTTTTCAGATTTCAGGGGCCTGGTTGTTGCCCTCCCTCCACCCCCACCCCAGGCTCTTAGAAAAGAGCATGCCCTGAGCTTGGGCTCCTAGCATCACCTGCCTTTGCTGGAACTGCAAGTGAGAAACTTTACGACGTGTTATTTCAGGGGTTCCTTTTTTTCTCAGAAGCTGCTCATTTCTAAGGAGAGGCTGTGATAACAAAACTGCGTATTTTCTTTCAGGTGAGTTTCGATGAATCGGCTCATGAAGGGGAACCTGGCCGGCCCATGCTGAGACGAGAATGGCACCTCCTTCTGGGCACAGCTTCTTTCTGATCAGCGCGCTGGGCGTCTTTGCACTTGACTGCTTCACCAGGGCTCAGGGGAACGGCACGCTCATTTTCACCAAGGAAAACACCATTCGGAAGTGCATCTGCTCAGCAGACATCCGGGACTGTGACTACAGTTTGGCCAACCTAATGTGCAGCTGTAAAACCATGCTGCCTCTTGCCATCGAGCGAACGAGCTACAGTGACCGTCTGACCATCTGGTTCACAGACACGTCTGCGCTGGGGCTTCTGCTGAACTTCACGCTGGTCCGGGACCTGAAGCTTTCCCTATGCAGTACCAACACCCTCCCCACTGAGTACCTGGCTGTTTGTGGTCTGGAGAGGCTTCGGGTCAGCATGGAGGCCAAGCATCCCTCCCCTGAACAGAGCTTACTCATCCACGACAGTAGGGAGAGCGAATCCAGAGAGAAGCCCACGTTGTTCCAGCAAGGCTGGCAAACCTGTACGTATATCTCCTTCTTAGATATGGCACTCTTCAACAGGGAGTCCACCTTAAAATCATACAGTGTTGCAAACTCTGCCAGCCTAGCCAACAACTTCCCCTACTTTTCCCACCTTAAAACCTTCCCAATTCTAAACAACAAAAGCTATGTTATCACGTTCATTTACTAACATCGTAGCTGTGCCCATCCTCTGGGGACTTTGGCACCTGCTGGATCATCACAACAAGGGATCTGTGAACAAGGTCATGGGTATTCCTAGCCTCAACTTCACTTCTCCCCCAGCCTCCTTTCACACAGAGCCAGCCCTCTGCTCCACCCATGCCTGGCCCTGGGAAAACAAAATAAAAATAATCAAAAAAACCTACTTGATTCAGTCTAGAAGCATATGTTGGGGGCCAGCTAGAGGCTAGGTTTTTGCTACTAAGGGAGGGTAGGGAAATGTCAGATCAGTGCACCCCAAGGACTGCCTAGTGGAGCTCAGCAGAGGGGATGAACCCTAAAGAAAAGGTCTTCCAGGACTTCCCTGGTGATGCAGTGGTTGAGACTTGCCTTTGAATGCAGGGGATGCCAGTTCGATCCCTGGTCAGGGAACTAAGATCCTACATGCCTCACGGCCAAAAAACCAAAATATAAAACAGAAGCAATGTGTAACAAATTCAATAAAGACTTTTAAAAAATGAAAGAGAACTGAAAGTGTTAGTCACTTAGTCCTGTCTGACTCTCTGCGACCAGTGGACTGTAGCCCACCAGGCTCCTCTAGCCATGGACTTCTCCAGGCAAGAACACTGGAATATGTAGCCATTTCTTTCTCCAGGGGATCTTCTTGACCCAGGGATCAAACTTGGGTCTCCTGTAACAGGCAGATTCTTTACCATCTACCATCTGAGCCACCAAGGAAGCCCTTTAAAGAAAAAAAAAGAAAAGCATTTTCCTTCAAAATATTGCTAAAAAGCAATTCTCCCCCCCTTCATGTTCTTACATAGGCTGGAATTCCCCTATGTAGAGAATGACAGACTTCAGTGGTTTTGGGACAAGGAGCCCCTCAAAATGATTAGGTCCTTAGACTGGTATTTTCCAAACATCTCGTAAAGCACATTCACACTGAGAAAGGGAAGTCTTATGAGTATGTTCAGTGACGGGGAGTGGGGGACGGAGGTGGGGAGGGAGGGTTGAAGACTGGCCGATACGGTGGAACCTTAGGGCTGAATGAGAACACCAGGGTCCTGAGGGGGGGTGCAGAAATGAAAATTGGAAGTCACAAAAACCAAGTGCACGGGGGTTTTTGTTGCTTAGAACAAGGCCTAAATCCAGGGAAAGCTTTCTCCTTCTAGCCCTTCTCTTTTTTCTCTTGCCTTGCCACCTTCTACCTTTGGCCCAGATATACCACTTCCCCATTGTTCCTCTCCTCCTCCTCCTCCTGCTCCAGAAATCAGAACTTAGATTAATACCACTAGAGCTGTGTTTGACTACATGAGGGGCTAGCCTGGAAATGTAATCACCCCTTTGTAATACTATTCACATGGGTAAACACATCCAGATTACTGACAGATAATTAACAGGAGAACTTTTAGGGCTCAGTCCATCTGGAAGTTTAAGACTGGAAAGTGAAGACACTCTGTATGATGGGGTTAACATAAAATGCTTTCATGTGTGTTCATACAAAGAACTAAGGGAGTGTTTTTCATTAATTTTCACTGGAGGATAGTTGCTTTACAAAGTTGTGTCAGCTTCTGCTTCAGCAAAGTGAGTCAGCCACACACATGCATATATCCTCTCTTTGGATTTCCTTCCCGCCTAGGTGACCAGAGAGCTCTGAGTAGGTCTTGGCAGCTGTGCAATGGATTCTCACTAGTTATCTATTCTACATATAGTATCAACTTTTTTTTTTAATTAAACTGATTCATCATTGGACAAAGAAAATTATCCCTCACAGAGACCCAACTCAACGTTAAAGTGGAATATAAAGAGTTTGTGGCAATTATGGTACAAACATCTAAATTCAGAGTGCAAAAAGTTGGAACATGTTGAATGCATGATACCATAATGATAAGAAATAGCTCTACCATGAAATAACACACATTTTTCTCTTAGCCTTAACACCAGGTAGCTGAAATAAGCTGAAATGTCTCCATTTGGTTAACTGGTGAGAGATTTGGCCACTCAGACTAATTAGCATGCATCTATAATGTTAGTGTTTAAATTAGGCCAGAACTAAGACCAAGATACCAATTTTAATAGAAAAATGTAATGACCTTATTACTGGCATTGTATGTGAGAGGTAAGATTAAAGTGGTAGAAAAAGACAAATAAGGAAAAAAGAGAGAAAGAAAGGCAAGAAGGGTATAGATGAAAAGATTAATATTAAATATATTTACTGTCATTAGTTACCAAAAATGTAACAAATGGAATTTTAATAATTTTTATTAATAAAGTATAAAATTTACTGATATTAGAAATTATGAGTATCTTAATGTGCACATCTTCCATCTGGGGACTTTTTAATAGCTTCAGAGCTCTTTCACATATGTTTTAAGTAATTCTTACAAGAAGTACTTGTTGGGTCCTTCTCTGGTGGCTCAGTGGTAAAGAGTCTGCCTGCCAAGGTAGGGGACACAGGTTTGATCCCTGATCCAGGAAGATCCCATGCCGCAGAGCAACTAGGCCTGCGTGCCACAGCTACTGACCCAGAGCTCTAGAGCCGGGCGGCCACAACTCCTGAGCCCACGTGCTGCGACCACTGAAACCTGAGCACTTGAAGCCTGTGGTCCCCGACAAGGGAGCCGCCGCGTCCAAGGCAGCCCCGCTCAGCACAGCTGCACAGAGCAACAAAGGCCCGAGGCAACCCAAAACAATGTTTTAGTAAATAGACAAGGAAAAAGTAACTAGGACGGAGTGGAACTATACACAACCTTGCTCTCTATTTTCCGAGTCTCCTGTAAATGTGTTATTATGTTTTCATAAGATAAAAAAAAAAAAAAAACTCATGTTCCAAATACAAAAAAAGAAAGAAAGAATTCTGAACACAATGATAAATTCGTCTTTGATAGGAAGAAGGCCACTTTTTTCAGTTTCCTGAGAAGAGCCAAGGAAGAGAAGTACACATGCAAGTAGGTGCGTGGATGTGGTTCCCTCCGACGCTTCTCTATTGTCAGTAAAGAATTAGCTAGTTATTAGCAGGGGGAAGCTGGTGGCTCAGATGGTAAGGCGTCTGCCTGCAATGCAGGAAACCCAGGTTCGATCCCTGGGTCAGGAAGATCTCCTGGAGAAGGAAATGGCAACCCACTTCAGTATTCTTGCCTGGAAAATCCCATGGACAGAGGAGCCTGGTAGTCTACAGTCCGTGGGGTGGCAAAGAGTCAGACACGACTGAGCAACTTCACTTTCTTTTCTTTCTTTCTATGGGAAAGCAAACTTACCAAGGGGAAATTAAAAATATGGGACAGATAAACTTGTTGAAATCCCAAAGGTACAGATGTCTCCCTCATGATCTCTTCATTGCCATAAGTTTACATGTTTTAAAACTTTGCCATTGTTTCACTGGAGTGATGAGAAAAGGAAATGATAAAAACACATGATTATTCCTGTATCATTAACTCAAAATCTATTTACCTCTTTCAAAACTTTCCCACCTCTTCTTTGCTTATTGGTTTGTTAAGAGCCATTGCTGTTGTTCTGTCGCTCAGTTGTGTCCGACTCTTTGCGACCCCATGGACCGCAGCACACCAGGCCTCCCTGTCCATCACCAACTCCCGGAGTTTACTCAAACTCATGTCCACTGAGTTGGTGATGCCATCCAACCATCTCATCCTTTGTCGTCCCCTTCTCCTCCTGCCTTCAATCTTTCCCAGCATCAGGGTCTTTTCCAATGAGTCAGCTCTTTGCATCAGGTGGCCAAAGGATTGGAGCTTCAGCATCCAATATTCTAGTGTATATTCAGGGTTGATTTCCTTTAGGATTGACTGGTTTGATCTCCTTGCTGTCCACAGGACTCTCAGGAGTCTTCTCCATCACCACAATTTGAAAGTATTAGATTCCTCTTAAATCAGTTCTGAAATTTGTATTTTGTTAAAATATACATTTTCTGTAGAATTTCAAATGTATTTTCACTGGGTACCATACAACATTTTCTCACAATTAATTTGGCTCTTCCTCATGTCTGCTGCTGCTGCTGCTAGGTCGCTTCAGTCGTGTCCGACTCTGTGCGACCCCACTGACGGCAGCCCACCAGGCTCCGCCATCCCTGGGATTCTCCAGGCAAGAACACTGGAGTGGGTTGCCATTTCCTCCTCATGTGTAGTTATACTTAAAGTTTTGGGGGACATGTATGTTCCTATATTAAGTTTGGGTTTTTCCTTGGTAATTCCTATGTTTTGGGTTTTATTTTATTATTTTCTAATTTATTTTTTAGTAGTAACCATTTTATCTTTGACTGTTTCTACTCTACGCATTCTTTGAATTGTTTTGCTGTTTTTTTTTTCTTTGTTTTTCTGAGGCTGAATATTTCTCTTTTCACTTGTGTAATTCTAAATTTAAAGTTATACATTATTCCCTGAGTACCCCTTTAGCTGTGTGCCATACATTTTTATATGGAAATGACACTTTTATTAATTTCTAGAGATCTTAGATAATGAATGGTTTATTCAGAGATTTAGATGACTGTTCATTAATTCCCAGGTAGTTTAGACTCTTTTTTTTGTATGGGAGGGGTCATTCAGCTTCCTGGATTTGGCTCGTTTTCTCTGGTTGGAGAACGTTCCCTGTAAAAATCTGTTTTGAAGAGTTTGTTCAGTTGTTTGTTTACCCAGGTTAATGACTGATATTTATAAATGTTTCACAGATGCCATGGGTAATTAAATAGTCTCTGTTCGGAGAGAACATACTTTTATCAATCTATATATTTGAGCTCACTGATTATATTATTAAAATCCTATATAAACTTACACATTATTTGACTACTTCATCTGTCTGATTCAGACAGAGACCCACATACAAATAATAATAAAAATAATGTATTTAGTGTCCATTTGATGTCTGCAGTTAATTTAAGAAGAAATCTGGAAAGTTAACTAACCAGGGACAGATCCAGAGAAGGCCACAGTCTGGCTCAGCTATGGCTAGGGTTTTTCTGTATGAGTACAACAAACCATTCAATCCTAAAGGAAATTAACTCTGAATATTCATTGGAAGTACAGATGCTAAAACTAAAACTCCAATACTTTGGCCACCTGATGGAAAGAGTCAACTCACTGGAAAAGATGCTGATGCTGGGAAAGGCTGAAGGCAGGAAGAGAAGGGGACGACAGGGGACGAGATGGTTCGATGGCATCGCCAGCTCAGCAAGTCTGAGCAAACTCCAGGAGGTGATGAAGGACAGGGAACCCCGACCTGCTGCAGTCCATGGGGCGGCAAAGAGCTGGACACGACTGAACAGGAACCCTGCCCTGCTGCAGTCCACGGGGTGGCAAAGAGCTGGACACGACTGAACAGGAACCCTGCCCTGCTGCAGTCCACGGGGTGGCAAAGAGCTGGACACGACTGAACACCAACAAGAGCAAAGCAGGCGTGGGGAAGGGAGCTGAGCTTGTTGGAAGGGAGTGGCTACAGTCTCGTCCCCATGAAATCCAATCTGGATGAGGAAACAAAGGCAGGAGGAAGAGAATGGGCAATGAAACGTGA